GATCTTTTGATCGTTGGAACTGAGTTCCGACATGGAGATGGTGGTGGCAGAGCTCAAGAGTGAGTTTAAAATTATTGACTTGGGTGAAGTGAAGCACTTGTTAGGGATGGAGATAACGTATGCATGCTGACGATTTCTCAGAAGAGCTACACAGAGAAGATTCTAGTGCGTTGTAAGATGAATAAGTGCAAGCCTGTCCCTACGCCTCAAGGGAAAGGAAACTTCCCTGTGCCTGGCAACCCGGATGTGGAATCGGTGTGCGTGAACCCAGACCCGGATGTGGTTTACCGACAGATTGTTGGCTCGTTGCAATATCTGGTGCAGTGTACACGCCCGGATATAGCCAACGCTGTGCGGACGCTAGGAAAGTTTCTAAATTGCTTTACAAGAGAGCATTACGTGCTGGCAAAACGGGTGTTACGTTACCTGAGAGGAACGTCCGACTATGGTCTCATATGGACAAGATCTGAAAAGCCGGATCTGCAGTTTGTGGCGTATGTAGACGCATGGAGACCTCGTGCAGGTTGTGGCATATGCAGACGCAGATCTAGGAAAGGAAAAAGATGATCGTCGATCTGTGACTGGGTTCGTGCTACAAGTAGAGGGATGTACGTACGCGTACACAAGCCACAAAAAACGCCTAATAACGGACGATACATGCTGTTCAGAGTTTGTTGCAGCTGCTGAGTGCTATACAATGATAATCTGGACACACAATCTTTGCAAGGAGTTAGGACTTCGTCGCAAGATGACGATTCTCTACGATGATAACCAAGCGGCGATTAAAATTGATCGAAGCAAATACTGGGGACTGCAAAGTGAAAAGAATTGATCTCAAGTATCACAAGATTCGTGATTACGTTGAGCAGAAAGAGTTCGTTTTGGAGTACTGCCCTTCCGAGGACATGTTGGCGGACATCCTGACCAAACCCCTCGGTCCGACCCAGTTTCGAAAGCTACGACAGCTTTTGAATGTTATGCCGATACCTCCTACTCCAGATGCAAGTGATGAAAATTGACAAGCTGTATCAGTCGCCAGGAACACGAAGTGGGAGTGCGACGAAGGTCGTGTTACTGTGCATACCTATTGTAGCTGTGTATACAGCTGGGACTGTACACTTGCAGATGGAAATATACGCCCGTTAGTGTATAGTGTTAACAAAGGGGGTTGTCACCTTCGAGGTTTCCTCCTTAATCCCAAAGTGCTCCGTGGGAAGACGTTCTCTAGTTGCTTTCCGTCATCTAAGCTGCTCCTTGCCCTACTGATTGTGTGACGGGGTCACACAGCACCTTGCGCTAGAGGAAGTTATCTTCCGAGAGTATACAAACTCTCAGTGAACGGCAGTTCACAGGTCCCCTCTTTAATTAAAGAGAGCGAAGTGACCTAAATAAGGTAGATTGTAAACTGAGTATATTTATAGGTAGGTTAAGTTTGAGGTTAATACAAACTATCAGTTACCTATAGAAATGCAATGTCATAAAACCAATGGTTGGTTTTGAATGACCTTGGTACCTTGTACCAAATATCCCGGAGTATGACATGTCATACTCCTGAAGTGTGAAGTGTCACACTTCATGTAACCAGGGTACACTTAGTGCTACGTACCCCGTTACATCCTCCCCACTTAGGTTCGGTTTACCGACCAATCAGAATGAAGAGATGTTCGTCACAAACTCTCATTCTCAAAGTCGAAAACCATCGACTCGGCCGCGCGAGCGCGGCGGAGGCTCACTTTACAGTTAGAGCCTCGAGCAGCAACCTGTGCGCTCTTCGTCAAACTCTCCACTTCGACCGTTAACATGCCTCGTGGCACTGCTAAGAGCGGTGCTAAGACACGCTCCAAGGCTGCAGCCGGTAAGGCGTAGGCCAAGAGCACTAAGCCTCACGGCAAAGGCTCTGCACTTAAGGAGGCTACTCAGGTGGCCTCCGAGGCGATCGGATCCTCGGGTGACGCGGCTGCGGACAAGCGCGCAAGCAGGCGCCGCAGTCCGTCGCCCTCGTCTTCAGACAATCGTCCGAACCCTCGGTTCGTAGAACGTGAGTTCAACTCGGGCAGTGAGGACGATGCCGAGTCCGAGAGCACTCATGATGCTCCTGCGGGCTCTGTGGGAAGGCACAGCCCAGTGCCCAGTGAGCACAAAGAAGACAGCGTGCAGTCGTCCGCTAGTGATCACGGTGATCACAGTCCCAGGACCTCTGTGCGCTCTGAGAGTCCGGCCGTTAAGGCTAAGGGCACTCCCAAAGCCGGTGGCGATGAGGAAGGGAGTCCTCGCAAACGTCTCTCGCTTGCCGAGGGTCTTGCGCGCGCTAAGGCCTCTAAAGCCGAAGGCGCCAAGCCCTCAAAGAAGCGTACCGCCTCTAAGTCTCCACTCCGCGAGGAGAAAGGAGACTCGACGCTCCTATCAGAGTCTCTTCGGCTCCTCGGATGAAGAGGAGGAGAAGGAGGAAGAAGAGGAAGAGGAGGTGCCATTGTTGAGCCCCGGGAGCTCTCGAATGACCTCGACCAGCAGCAGGAGGATTTCCAAGCTGCCCAGCGTGTGCGTGGGGGTTCGGTGGCGGCACCCGTCAGCCAGGGAGCTGCCATCAACTCAAGAGGGTATTGGCCTCCCGAGGAGAGCTCTGGGGC